AACCGGGAGAAGTTATAACCATCTTGTTGTGTACTATCGGGCAACGGATATTATATTCAGGAAATACGGACAATATTTAGCCAAAATTCTGTTTGAAAAGCTCGAGTACACATAAAGATGACGGAGTGTTTAATGACTCACAGAGTACAAATACTCGACAGCTCTTTCTGGATTGTTATAAGCAGCACGAAGGGCACGAAGAACAGTGTCTCTGTCCCAAGTACCCCCACCCATATCAAGAATTTCCTGAATTGTCCCATCCAGATTGCTACCAGCGACAAGATTAGATGCAGCTTGGCCATACACTTCTGACCTGCTAGTTCATTGCAATAAAATGCTCTGAATTTTGTACATGATAGTTTTATATGGCTTCCTTCCAAGTCCTCGCATAAAACACTTACATATAGCATGAAGAAAATCACCCTACTAAAGTGATGAACTCTTCATTTTTTGGTAACACAAAAGAATACACTATACATACATTAATATATTATTCCCATTGTTTCCTAGTACTAATATAGGACTTTACTAGCAAATACAACATATATGAACAATTTAATGAGAATTTTCCTATTAGTGATCTGTGACATGAAACAATATTGTTGTACAACAACAACAACAACAACATACCCAGTATATTCCCAACAGGTTGGGGTCTGGGGGGTCAGTTGTACGCAGACCTTACCCTTGTAATTATACAAGGAGGCTGTTTCCGTAGCGACCCAAGGTGCATTGCGCCGTTTGATATATTTTTTTTTTCTAGAAACTTCACTAATAGAAGAAGCACTAGAATTTAATTGAGCCATTTTAATCTAGTCCATATGAAACAATATTGTTGTACGGCCCATAATTTGTTTAATTATTCCCAAACATCCAATCTAATACCCAAGACACAAATTTAAGACTTAACTAATATCATATATATATAGAGTACACATGAACTATATATTTTATTTTCAAAAGCTTCCATTCAAATGGTACTCACACATCGCTGACAGCTGGAACTGGAGCTGGAGCAGAAGCTGGAGCAGCCCTGAGGAGTTGATGAGTTGAAAAGTCAATCAAATTTATAATTCAAGCATGCATTCAAAGGGACCAATTAAAATTGATGAATTATTGGAGATATCAGAAGGAGAATATGTAGACAAAACTCACGCAGCTGCAGGAGGCTGAGGACTTGTAGCCACTGGAGTTGAAGTAGCTGTGCCACTTGTCTGTGCTGCCTATTAAGGTGCAAACCAACTTAGATGCATCAAATACATGCTCATCTCAGCAAATGTATCAGAATTTAACAGAATAACCCCTTATTATGTTTTTGAAATCTAAAACGGACGAAGCAACAAAACATGACAAAAAGTCGAAAAAGGTTGAAATGCCAACAGCAAATCAGGGCATATGATTCAAGTTGCTGACTCTAAACCACCAGAATTGCAATTTTTTTCCTTGTCACCACTTAATTTGGAAGCTTTCTCAGCAATGTAACGGAGAGGTTTTAATTTTCCATCTCACTCTCAGTTTCACAATGAGAAAACAAAGAAACAAAAAGTCTGAAGCATACAATGGTCACATTACTATGCATGCCAGAAAATATCTGTTTCCATAAAAAGGAAATGTATTTCCATCTCAGGGCAAAATCAAAAGAACTTTTAACTTCAACAAGGTAATCCAATTTCTCATATAACTACACATTATAAAATTAGTTAATAGCATCTGAACCTAACACACGCATAAAAACACCAACCGATCAACAATCCAGCTACAACAAGAAAACAATAAGAATGGTGTCCAATAGAATCAACTGAAATATATTTTTAAATGAGATTTAAAACATCACGACAATGAAATATAAAGCCAGAATCTATAACACGCTTACCTTAGGTGCGTTTGCCGTTGTTGAGCCTTCACCTGTAGGTCCCTTGTTCTACAACATTTGAGAAAGAACATAATGAATATGAATATCGGATAGGATAAGAAGGCATATAAGGTGTTGAGTTAGTAGCAATTTTCATTGCAATGGAGCAGGATTTGCATAACTCAATAGGCTCATTGCGAATGAAGTTTCTTTGCATTAGGATCCGTTGTGACTTCCATTGTAAGTTGAAAATTCATTTTTTTCCTTCAAATCATCCCTATGGAATGCATGTTGTCAATGGCTTAGAAAATAGAATAAATTAAAAAGTGATCCCCAGCTGCAACCTTGGATACCTATCACTAGAGTAAACTGAATAATCAATTATCAGGCATGCCTTCCTAAGGGCCTAACCGCTTTAGAAAATATTATTCATCAATTATTAACGAATAATTGCTTGAAATGGACATAAAAGAAATCAGATAATACAATCATGGAAAACTAGATGTAGTTGTAAAGGGTTGTAAAGGGCATAGGCTAGATGACCTTTGTAATTTATTTCAGCAAAATTGTTCCAGAAACTTCCAATAGATAGACTTTTTACCTTGCTCAGCATAACAACAACAAAACTGCCTTCAGCAACTTCTTCCAGTGTACTGTCATCTTTCAGAACTTTCCCTTGGTAGATAAGCATTTGCTGTGCGGCCGGATATTTATCTGCTCCCTCTTTACTCTCTGTGGTTCCCTCTATGGTTTTCTTCACATCTGCAACCTGCCAAACAAAAAAGCCATATCAATCGAGGGAATAGTTCACTAAATCCTACTCAATTTCATAGGGAATACACTCTAGTTCGAGCCCTTGCTGCTCATTATTCATACAAATTATAAAAACTATCTTTTCCAAAAGCATAACCTTGGAAAATTATCTTTGATCTAGACTAATTTTCAACAGCCACATTGAGTTTCACTCAAAACCCACAAAGCCCGTAAATTAATGATTTCAAATCATTAAAAAAAACCCCGCATTAAATTCATTGCGAAACTCAGCTACCACATATTAAGATAACAATTCAGCTACATTCCGGTATCAAATTCCATCAATTCAGATGAAAACAATATGCAAATTGGTCCCGTGAATCATCATCGGCACTATTTATAGCTATGGACAGATAATCCAATTAAAGTATGGCAACAGGAATTGTCATCATACAATTGCATAAACTAATGGCGACAAAAAAAATAAAATTAAAATAACAAAAAAAAGTTGCAGACATCATCAATTATCGCTCAAACATAAGCTCCAGCCTTCATCGTACCATCCCTTGCCCAAAAAACAACAAAATTTACACAAATCGATAAGAACGATGCATAATTCAAACTAAAGTTAAAAATTAACCAAAAAAGGAAAGAAAAAAAGAAGATAAAACTAACCGTATCCTCGGGTTTTACTTCGATGTCGAAGGTGATACCCTTGAGAGTCTTCACGAAAATCTTCATCTTCTCTAAAAGTTTCTAATTACGATCGAGTAATTTATCGCTGCAAAATTTGGATCGGCACAAAATAATGAGTAGTGAATAAGGTTTTATTTTCGGTTTTACTTTTATATGGGTAATTTTACAGAAGTTACTCAAGTTAGGAATAGGGAAGAAGCGTACAAGTTCGACTAGGTAATCGTGGGATCTCTTTGTGTTAAACCCAAATTCATGCTTCTTTATCTTTACTATTCTTTGCTCTTTATCTTACTCTACTTCAAATATTCTCTCTTTTATTCCTTTTATTTTGCATTTATTTTCTTATATTATTGATATATTTTTTTATTTTTAATTAAGAAAATACTGTTATATAAAATAATAATTGTGAATAGATAGTTAGAAAAAATAAAATCATAATTGTATATAGATAATTTAGAAAACTGTAGAGGTATATGTGGATTTTTTCATGATTGTTCAAATTTTGCAATAATCATATCCATTAAAAATACAAAATTGCTGAAGAGTACGTGAAGAAAACCTTTTTATTTTATTTTTTATATTAGGACAATTTAATTAAAAAAATAAATAGCTGATGATAGGACGCCAAAAAAAACCCATTTAATTTTATAGTAGGATATTTATTAAAAATATGAATAAAGAGATAAAGATGTGACTAGTTTTTTTTTCTAATGAGTGGGGAATTATTTTAATCTAAATTTATATTTTTTAAATGAAGAATTTTAAAATATTCAAAAAGCTAGTGAAAACTAATCAAGCATTTCAAATAATAATTGAATTGCTCCAAACTTTTCTTTTTCTCTCTAGTTCTTTCGTAATACAGAACCCTAGAGACGGCGTGGGTTAGAACGTGATTTGATACGGATCATAAACAATTATAATTAATTTTGAACGATTAACTTATTTTGTTTTCAATTATCACACTTAAATTAACTCAATTATCAACTCTATTCTCCTACTTTTAATAAATATAATTAAATAATATCAATTATCCCATCAACTTTAATTTACTTTTCATCCACTCACATAATTTTAACTATTTATCACTTTCAATAATTTTTCACCTACTTTTACATCACATCAACTTTAATTATTATATTTTAAATGCTATTTAATTTGGTACGCAAAATATCTCTGACCAGCTGAATTCGGCCTGATCTCAAGCTCCTCGCCGGTTGAACGCTTTCGGACCTGGAAAAAGTCTCGTACCGTGGGGGTTTTCATGTGAAGATTCTTCGATGTTTAAGTTAGCACTGTGAAGAAGATGAAGTGTTGTAAGTATGTAGAGTAATAGAGAATATAATGTTATGTTGGGCATACATTACTCCCTTATATAGGGAGACAATACCTTGTTGCCCAAGTGGGCTGCCCAGACTGCCCGTTCATACTACCCGAGCTACTCGAACTGCCAAACTGTTCGATTCTTTTAGGCCACGTGGCCCTATCCACGTGAGGGTTTAATCCCAATATATTTCTTCCTATCCTTTAATCTTTTTTATTAGACAGTCTAACCGTGAGACCGACCTTGATTAGCTCGAGGTAGAATACCACCGATATTGAGCTCTAATGATCTGCCTGTTGGGTCAATCCTTCGACCAGCTGTACCTTTAGGTCTGACAGAAACTGGGAGAAAACGATTGCGGTCCCACTATCATGAAGCACACCATGACAAGGAAAAAACCCATATGAACCCCAAGTGGAGTTCTATTCCAAAACCAATTGTGGAAGAAAGAGTATTCCATTAGTTTTATAAAGTGGGTCTATTTTCCATATATGAACGATGTGGTACAACTCACAAGTGATATTCTAACAAGGTCGAACTCCAATCAGGCCGGAGGTCGAACTTCAACCAAATTAAATCATAACCGATTGGATTCATATTAAATAATGTCTTTACTGTCTAAGTACATAATTCTCACTCGATGCCACAATTTGGGCAAAAGAACGTTAAAGGTTAGTAAATGGTTTACTTTATGAGTACAAAATTCTCGCTAATCGACCACGATTTAGGCGGTTTTTCAACTATGTATCCAGAACTTTCAAGGTTAGTAACCACAGTGAAAATTGAAGTTGGGAAAGCAAACAACCAAATCTCATTAGCACGATCAAATGTTTCTTTTGAAATATCAAAATTATGTGTGGCGGCAAAAGTTTTTTTGTCGGGAAACTTTTAGAATTCAAATGCCAAAGTTTCTTCAAGTAACAAAGAAAGTAGAGATTGAAACCGTTGGGAAAATTCGTTCTTCTTGGAGTTTAAATTCAAGGTAGATACGAGACGAGCTCTATAAAAAATGCCTTGGCATTTCTTCTAGGAGTTAGTATGGTTTAAAGAAATTCATGAGCAACCACACCAGACACAATGAATAGCATCTGTTGGAATGCTTAGGTCTAGGGAACTTCAGGGCATTCCGAGAATTAAGATACTTTGTCGTTGACTATAATATAGAAACAATGGGAGATTCTACAGTCCCGTTACGGAACCATTCTGTCGGGATTGGTAACTGTTAGATCAACTATCCACGACGGTTACATGGTGATCTAACGATTACAAATCCCGACGGAATGGTTCCGTAACGGCATTGTAACATTTCCCAGAAACAACATCTCATAAAAATTTATCAAGTTTCTTTAAAGCATAAAAAAAAATATTTTTAATATTTATAATGATATTGCAAGAGAACTCAAACTGAGTTACAAGAAATAATTTAACAATATATAATATTAATAATTAACATTTATTTTAAGTTATATATATATATATTTTATTGAATTTTGTTTGAATATATAAAATGAGGACATAATTTATTTTTAATCACTTTTTTTCGTTATACACCATATGTACTTGATAATTAATAACTCATGAATAACATACTACTAAACTACTTCTGGCTCATGCTTTATAAACAAGCATTAAGTGATAAAATAATTGATTTGTCTCGTTATACAATTGAGAATGATAATATATTGTTCTTTGTTATCATAAGCATTTACTACACAAGTCACAAATTATTGTATTGATAAAATTAAATGTATTTAAAAAAAAAATATTTGGATCAATCGGATTAATTGAATTAAGTTACTATTTAGATTTATTGGATTACTTTCAAGTCATTCGTAAAATAGTTAAAAAAAAAATGTGACACGAATTGGCATTCTGGGTGACCAAGTTATTGGTCAATTTGACAGAACCCAATCGATTACTAAATTTAAATATGAATGAATAGTTACTACGAAAAATATAGTGTAGGCAAAACAATTAAATCAAGAGTACTTTTATCAAAACATGTTCAATAATTTATAATTATTTATATAGCATTTTGTTAATATTTATGTGAACGATATTGTACTATAACTTCTACTAATATACGATAACTGATGCCATGGTTCATGTTATTTATATATCTAATTTATAATACAACTGTAATATTTATCTCTTGTACATCACACAGGCCACGTACTAATTTTTCTGCGAGATCAATCACAAAAATGTGTAATTGAAAGGTATGTTGTCTCCCGAGCTTCTGCGCTCTTTCCTTCAACATCCTACACTTCGCTGTGACTAGAGCTCTTTATCTCTCACAAAAATGTGTAATTATATTGTAATTTTTTTTTTGTTTATGTTATTACTTAAGGGGTGAAAATCACTTTTGGCACCCAAAATATATCATCTTTTTGCTTTTGGTACCCAAAGTCCCAACTTAATTTTGGTTACTAAAGTTTTTCAAATTAATGGCTTTTGGTCCAATCATTAAAAAAACTAGTTAAGTTTGACGGTCGCCTAGAGTTCAACAATTTATATGCCATTTTAAAACTCTTGACTCAACCTATCCAACAGTAACTTTCATTCATCGTATTCATACGATATCTTGAAGTTCGTCAAAATTGTCGTAATCAAGTTCTCCTAAAGATTCAACCGTTAGATTTCCATAAAAAATATATGTATAGAAAATTATTTTATTGGGGAATCCAAATGTGTATCCCAACCATCAATAAAGTCGATCGTCAGATATAAGCCAGTGAAGTTTCCAGTTTTCCAATGAACTACGGTGGCTGGAAAACTGGAACTTCTCCAGCGATCGAGAGACTTAATTGAGATCGGGCTTCATCGTAGAATTCCTCAAGAAAGTTGGTTTTCTATACGTATATTTGTCTATGAAAATTAAATGCTTGGATCTTTAGCAAAAGCGATTAATTTGAAAATTATAATAAATATTTGATATATTAAATCAATATATATGAACTTAGATCCTTGTGTACATTTAAATTCAAATTTTCGCACTAAATTTGTAAATTTAAAATTTTGATAAATTCCCAAAGTTTGGTAAAGTTAATGGGGGGCTAGACGTGGCCATTTTCCTGTTCCGGGTAGGTTTCAGGTCGGAACCATCGATTTCTGGCCACATTTTTTATGAACTTGAACCACCCAATAATATATACGGGCCGACTCAATGAACTGTGGTTCACTATTCAGAACCGGCCCGCTAGCTCAGGGTCGAGCCGGTTCAGACAATATTTTT